TGGGTGAGTCAATATGTGAAAGTCATAAAATATATAAATATCAAATATGTTTACAATAAAATGGACAAGCCATATTGACCTGACTGCGAGTTAAAAAAAAAAAAAATAACTATTGAAAGATATTATATTAAAATAATATGATCTAGTTCCTATTAGATCACATAAGAACCTGGGGTTTATCATAAGTTACCTCTTTACTACAGGTGGATAAAAAATCACTATTCAAAAAAGGTTGAAATCAAGTATGTTCTGGAAGTAAAGGTTCACATTAGATAATAAGTTTTCTCAAACAGTATATAAGAAAGAAATCAAAATCAAGAATGGATAAGTTCCTTAAATGGTCAGAAAAAGAAAGGATATTCCAATTGAGTATTTCTTATTGAGAAGAGATCTTGAAAAGCAGGTCTTTGGAAAAAGCTGGAAATATTTTTTTTTAATTATTATTTTTTTCATTTTCTTATTATCTACTTAGACATTTTTAGATATTCCTCCTTCCTTTTTTTAATCCATCCTTTTGTAGTTTTTTGTATTCCAGTGGCTTGGTACAATATACAGCAGTAACAACCTGGTAGCAATGATGTAGTGGACTAGGAGAGTTTTTATCCAAAGATATTGTGAAGTGAAATATTGTTTTCAAGATCAAACTTAGAGGCTTTTATACTTATGATGAGTTAGTTAGATTAGAATAATAGTTTAGCTGTAGTATGTATCATGCTGCTTGAATGAAAATGTACTTATATTTTCAATTGATTAATAAACTGACAATCTAGTCTAACTACAGGTACTCAAAAAAAAAAAAAATAAAAATAAAAATATATAATATATTTAAGATAATTGATATCATACTAAGAATTTTACTATTCAATAAAGCTCATATGTAATATTAATTGTAAAAACTTTTTTATTGTTAATATTAAAAATATTACTTGACTTTTTTTATTATCAAAAAGTTTAGTATTTTTTATAATATATGCATTTAGAGATTTTAAAAATTAAATATTATCATGTGACCATCCTAAAAAGAGACCATGTAATATCGAGGTTTCGATACGTTACACACCTTCACTGAAAGTCACTTCGAGCCTAGATTTCACAATCATCCAAAATGGCGACGAGACTTCCAGCAGTAATTATGGATAATGGGACGGGGTAAGCACAAACGTGAAGTTTATAGTAAACATTCCCAACATTCCCTTCCCATAAGCCAACAAAAGTCATCTTGGCAATAAATTCTTAAAGGTACACAAAGCTAGGCTTCGCGGGTAATAATAATCCTTTATTCGTCTTTCCCACGGCCATAGCGACACGTGATTCAGCAGGAGCTCCAGCAGGTGGCTCTGCAGTTTCAAAAGCATCGGGGAACATTGCGACGAAACGGGGCATCGAGGATCTGGATTTTTTTATCGGGAATGAGGCGATTTCAAATTCTAAGACTTATGGTTTACACTATCCAATTAGACAAGGACAAATTGATAATTGGGATCAAATGGAAAGATTTTGGGAACAAAGTATTTTTAAATATTTAAGGTGTGAGCCAGAAGATCACTATTTTCTTTTGGTGAGTTTTTTTTATTAAATGAAGGTATCTTTCGAGTGTGAGGCCGAATTAATTTTACTTTATCGTTAAAAAAAAAACGAAATAGACAGAACCACCATTAAACGCACCAGAAAATCGGGAACAAACTGCCGAAATAATGTTTGAATCTTTTAACATCCAGGGACTTTACATCGCGGTTCAAGCAGTTTTGGCCTTGGCCGCTAGTTGGTCCTCAAACAAAGCATCCGATTTTGTACTAACTGGTACAGTCATTGATAGCGGTGATGGTGTCACTCATGTTATCCCAGTGGTATGTAAAAAAAAATTAAGACATAAATAAGCACAGCTTACAATATTAATATTGTTAAAATCACTTTCTCATCATAAAAGGCGGAGGGTTATGTGATCGGATCATCTATAAAGCATATCCCAATTGCTGGTCGAAATATTACATATTTTGTTCAACAACTTCTTCGTGATCGAAATGAGAATTCTATTCCACCTGAAGATTCCTTGAAAGTTGCAGAAAAAATCAAAGAACAATTTTCATATGTTTGTCCAGATATTGTTAAGGAATTTAAAAAATATGATCAGGAAGGCGACAAGTACTTTCAAAAATATCAAGGAGTACATAGTGTAACCGGTCAGGTACATTTCGAGGTATTCATAATTATCTACCATATGTAGTGATATGCCTAACATCATTGTTTTTTAAATTTTTGACAGCCGTATGAAGTCGATGTGGGGTTTGAGCGTTTTCTAGGCCCTGAAATATTTTTTAATCCAGAGATCGCATCTTCGGATTTCTTAACACCAATACCTGAAGTAGTTGATAATGTTATTCAAAGCTGTCCTATTGATACTAGACGCGGTTTGTATAAGGTATGTATACTTTGATTTATGATGTTCTTTGGTTTATATAGTTAAATTATTTATTTTCTTGTTAGAATATTGTGCTTTCTGGCGGTTCGACAATGTTTAAGGATTTTGGAAAACGGTTACAACGTGACATGAAACGAGTGGTTGATGCCCGTATCAAGAGAAGCGAGGAATTAAGTGGAGGTTTGATAAAGGTAATTGTTAATCCTGACAAATTGAGCTCATCTAAATTGGAGAAATCGATTGAAATCATAATTCCATAATGCCATCATCCAGTCGACACCTATAGATGTTAACGTTATTTCCCATAAAAAACAACGATATGCTGTATGGTTTGGCGGCTCATTACTCGCTAACATGGTAGGTTTAAATATTTTCTTACCTTCGATCGGTGATATTATCTATCTTGCTTATTAAACTTTATATAATTACAGCCGGAATTTTACACTTATTGTCATTCGAAAGCAGAGTATGAAGAACGCGGACCAAGCATTTGTCGGCATAACCGCGTTTTTGGATCTATAAATTAGTGTGGGTATATTAATACAAAAATTGTGATGTAATCTTAAAGAAAAATTATACAATGCTAAATTCGTTATAAATATGCTGTATAGGTGAAAAAACATACATCTTGAAGTCACAAAGGATATACAAATGGACAAAAGGCGAGTGGATAAAAGATAGCGTTAAATTTTATTTTATTATTACCTCTTTTGGGATGAAAAAATTAAGGAGGTAAAACGAATATTTAGTAATTTCAAGAAAATTATTAATTAAATTATGGACAAAATTTTGTGCTCTCTTTTATCCTTTCATTTTTTATTTTATTATTACCTCTTTTGGGATGAAAAAATAAAAGAGGTAATAATAAAGTAAAATAAGATTAAGTAATTTCAAGAAAATCATTAATTAAATTAAGTAATTATATTAACATAATTAATTTGGTAATCGTCTTCGTTGTTTGATGTCTCGAAATTTCAATCATTATAATGTGGCAAAGAAGTCTATTCTGCTATAGCATGTTTAATTTATCTAATGAGAACTAATCTATTATTTATCAATCTTATTGACTTTAATTTTTATAAATTTTAGTAGGGAAAAATTAAAACTCTTTTTTTTTTAACCCTCAATTATGTCATATGACTTAATCTTTATTGAGAAGTTTAAACTATTTACAATATTGCAGATTTTTTTACATATTGATTAACTTGTCATTGTATTGAAGTATTCTAAATCAGGTTTAAGGAATAATAATTTATTTCTTTAAAGAATTAATATATATTTTTATTCATTAGATTTATTATCAATAGTTTGTCACTATAGATTACCTATAAATTATGAATTGCTAAGTTAAAGGAAAAAGAGAAAAAAGAAATGGGAAAAGAAGACAATTCATGGTTTTATTAAAAAAGTTCAATTATTTTCTCAAAAAGAATTTATATAATTAGAATAGTCTTTTTGTTTCTTTTGAGTCTCAAAAAAAATCTTTTTTATTATTATATATAATATTAAATAAGTTAATTCAAATAATTCTTTATTTAAGTAAGCACTGAATTAGAATATTTTTAAGAAAACATTTAAACTTTAGTTTTTATTTATTAAAGTTTTATCATCACTTAAGGAACTTAGATAAGAAATAAAAATTTATAATTCATATTATTCATCTTTTGATCTTTAATATTATAGATATTTTTCTTAAGGAATTTGAGCATTTAAGGAAAAAAATTTTAAACAAATTTTTTTTTTTTTTTTTTTTTTTTTTAACAACACTTATTAGTCAGTTTATTTGATTATGAAGTTCAGGTACATGAGAGATACAAGCGATTTGTAAGACTATATACTCTATACTATTACAAATAACAGTTTGCCATGTGGCCCACTTTGACTAATATTTTAAACAACTCAAGCTAACCTAGTGTACGTGAAGTTCCACTAGTGTGTTATGTTAACAAGAGAGGTAGAGGCAATTTGGAGGATAAGGGGTCAGTAAATCTTATATGTGAAGCTATGTTTTGATGCAATGTCAGAATTTTCAAAACCTCCTATAAAAAGAAATTACTGAAAAAAATTTTAACCCTAGAGTAGAAGTCCTGACCAGTGTGTTGTGTGTAATTGGTGTAAGAAATGATTGGTAGGCTTCAGAGTGGGTTCGCTTCGATAGAAATGGTGCTTCGTATACTTTCGATTACTTTGTAGCTCATATAGAGGAAGAAGCTATCGCTCAGTCCACGAATGCATTATCAAAACCACATGGGAAAGTACGATGAGACCTGTTTCTCCTTTTATATTCTCCGGGATTATGCCAAGTTCATTGGTTTCTAATAGTGACAAGGTCTTCCACTTGAGATCAAGGCACCCCATTTACCTTTAACTAAGATCCTCGGTGGTACAGGAAACTCAAATAATATCTCTTGGTGAAATTACTCTCCAGCTGGTTTTCAACTATATTCATGAGTTAACTACTGACGCTAGGTAGGTAGGGATAAATTCTTTAGGATGTTCATCTATCTAGTCACTTTTGTATAGGGAAAGGGAAGGAAGCTCAACTATGGTGTAGATACCACTCCATTCGATATTACTATCTACCAGAGGTGAGGGGTTCAATCTTCATAGGAAGAAGAGGTCAGGGAAGAGAATGGATATAACTGTGTAGATTGATCCACTGTATCACATAGGGTCTTATGATGAAGTAGAGAAATATATGCTAAGCCTCCATATCCTAAAAGCTGAGCTAATCGAAAGATGACGGCTGACCAGTTTCTTTGACTCTTCCATGGGACGTCCATTGATATAGAAGGTGACAGTGTCTATTATCCACCCGCACCACTATCATATGACTTATGGTAGACCTCAGGTTCTTATGGAGCTGAAGAAATGCATTCAGACATGTGAGGTGACCAATAGGAGCTTGTTTACATTCTTTTACTGACGTGATTCTGCTAAGCCAATCAGCACATGAGAAACTTTGTGCTACTTAAAATTCAGGATCAAACTGAGATAGGCAAAATCCCCCAGAAAAATCAAGAAAGAGTACTATTAGAGCCCAACAAATGACGAAGAGAGTGGATGGAGTGTATTTGTAATAGCTCTCTCATTACTAACAAAGCTCTGTGATGTTTAACTATGTGTGAAGGGGTGACAAACTGTCAGTTCTTCTTTCTTTCAGAACTTTCTTGCCATTGGTAGGCAAAGTATTTCATGACTGTTTAGGTCACTAGCAGACAAGTTTTTGGTTGAAGAGGATGTAGACAAGAGGGAGGGGATTGAGATGACTTCTGAAGTGTTTTCCAGAGTGGTTTAAGGAGAGTGATAAGACTTTATTAACAAGAAAGTATTAAACTTTTTTGCAAACATCTTTTTTGTGTGTGGTCAGAGGATCAGCGGGAAGAGTGGAAAATAAATTGATCTAAAAAATATTGAATATAATATATAATATATAGTATAATATATACTGTATACTATAGATTTATAATTTACAGTATATTAGGCATATTGCATTTCTAAATATAATTATTAAATAGATAATTAAATAAATTAAATTAAAAAACACAATAGTAATAAATAAATGATAGATTAGATCAGTTAACCTGTGATAGTTTGCAATACATTATGATAATAGTCAGTAATAAACAACCCATGTTAGCCTGACTATAAAAAAAAAGTTTCAAATTATTATTTAGGTATAATCCTACTTGCGTCTTTCATTAATAAAACCACCATTTGTTCCACGACGCAATTTATTTATTATTGCCTATACAAGTTTTCCTATTACTAATAAATTCACTGGGTCGCTGCCCTTATCACCTAAGAGTATACCTTCATTTCACATTATTTTTCAAAAGGAAATATGCAAATACCCTAATTAAAATAAAGAACCCAAATAATATAATTAGATTCATATACCAGGCTAAGTCATTCAAATTTAATGATTCTAACACCGCATATCCTGGTATGTATGCATTATCTCCAGCACTTAAATCAAAGCATTGTGCATAAGAACTAGCTTGACCCACAGTACACTTGAACGTCGATAACGGCGACAAGAATTGAATTTGCATTGATAGAGAGTAACTATAATGTAAGAATGACTTTATTTCAAGGTTGAGAAAGAGTAAGTTAATAAAAAAAAAAATTTTTTTTGTCACAAAAAAGTTATGTTAATTATAATACCGAATATTTTAGCCAGATTAGTCCGGAATGTAGATTCTTAACATAAAATCCGGCCAATAACATCGAAGATAGTATAAATACGGTCGCAACGGCTGCAATGGATAAGTCTTAACACGAGTGATGAAATTAATCAGCATATTTGGTAACTTACACGTTGCCTTTTGTACGTTTAAAAATATAGCGCCGAATAAATATCCGAAACTTTGTGCCGCCAACGATGTTAATAATGTTACGGCCTTTTGTTGTTTAAATGGATACTAAACGTGATTTTTGCGTCCTCTAAGCAATTTACATAACTAGTGAAAAGAAAAAACGCACCAGATATGCAATAAATCTTCCGAGATCCGCTACTAATCCACTAACCCAATAAACGACAATTACAAAAAGCGCTGGATGAATCATGGAAGGTATTATCTCGGCAATTTGCTTCGAGAGAAAATAGGATGACAACCGATAAGATCGTGATTGACGTTCTTTATTTAAAACGTTTAAATCCAGTGGAAATGAGGCTATCGTCGACATCATCGGATAAAATGACCAGTAAATCGATCTGTTGGATTTATATTTTAGAGGATGCGAGAAAAAAGAGATATTATAACAGTTGATATCACACGTTGCGTGCTTACGTGTAGAAGATCTGGTTTGTTCGATGAAGCCAATCAGCATTGTCATTGATAAGTTATAAAGGCGAAGGAGAAGTTTTACACACTCACCGCTCCATATCGATCGGCTATGCTATTTTCAACGTAGGGTAACTGAAACCAAATTAAACTAAAAAAAAAAGTAAGACCGATTGTATGTAATAAATTTAATTTAGACAGTATATCTTTGCTGCGTTGTTTAAATGAACGTTCGGTGAGAATAAGCACTTGTTGTAAAAAGGTTGCTTCCCATAGATACTTTGAGGTCAACCGACCCGGCATTATTATATCTTTGTCAGATAATGATGCGTCAAGGGATCGATTAGAATATCTATTGACCATTTGAGTTCCAGATGGATCGGATTCTATATGACGAGCATAAGCTCGGATTAGCTTTTGCTTATAAGTTGGTTCATTTAGAAGCTCCACTTTAGAAGAATTCATGAGAGTTAATAAAGCGCACATGCATGCAGATTTTAAAAATAAATTTAACATTGAACATACTTATATAATCAGCAGGGTTAAAATTCTGATTACACGTGCACTTCTCATCCTTTAGATAATTTAACACCTTTGTTCGCTCGCCAAAATATAGCACGTGACCATCGGCCATAAGCAGCAGCTTGTCAAATAATTCAAATAGTTGAGAGGATGGCTGATGTATGACCATCACTATTGTTTTACGTTGTTGAATCGCGAATTCTTTCATGATCTTCACTATTTCTAGCGCAAACGACGAGTCTTTATTTTATAAAATCAGAGGGTTGAGAATCAGTTGATAATACACTAAACTACAAAATCACGTGAATCATTAGACCAATGCATACCAAGTCCGGAAGTAGGCTCGTCTAATAGGATGACGCTAGGGTCGGTTAGTAATTCACCAGCAATGCTGGCACGTTTTCTTTCACCACCGGAGACACCCCTAGAAAAACCATCGCCAATTTTTGTATCTGTACATTTTGATAAATTCAGTAATCGAATTGTACTTTCTACTTGTTGTAGTTTTTTGCGTCTTGACATTTCACGGGGAAGACGTAGTCTGGCCTGTTTTCAATTTGTTTAGTGAGTAAGCAATAGACTTGGAATAAACAGTAGATTTAATGTCGTAACGTTAGACACATACCGTAAAACCGAGAGTCTCCCTAACTGTCAAATTAGGAAAAAAAACGTCGTCTTGAGCACAATAAGCTACAAATCTTTTTGATTCCTTCGTCGGTTTATGCCCGTTCATCCTTATTGTGCCAGTGACCCCTTGTTTATTCACACGATCTCCTAATATATTTAACAAAGTAGTCTTTCCGCAACCTGAAGGGCCCATTATAGCTAGAATTTCACCTGTAATAATGGTTATACAGTGAGTATAAAAATTTTCACATCACATGATCTACAACACGTACCAGGATTGGCACATCCATGGATGTTATGAAGGATTTGTTGTTCCGACATGCCGATCTCCTCGTCCCGTCTGTTTGTTCGAAATAATTTCGTAAAGGATAACCAACGGTTCCAACCACTATTAATTGAATTGTCACTCTTGTTCTTTTTAGGTACGGAATAGTTTATTCCATAAAATTCTAGATATACGGGGTTCTTTATGGAAGAAGAGATTTCAATAGTACTCTGTATGATTTCATTACGTTTCGATGCTTTCTCCTGCTGGAAGATATTAACACCTGACATATTAATACTCTCCTCCAGCACGATCTCATAATTTTAATAATGAAATAAACATGGAACTTTAATGAAATAATTAGGTTCACGATAATTTAATAACATTTACTACGGGAAGTCATACCAGTTCTTTACTTTCATGTTGAATCGAATAAGTCAAACTAATACCCTTTTCCATTTGATCAATGCTTTTTTCGGATTTTTTACTTTGGCTCATCTTTTTCAAGAGTGAATTCGATTTTAGAAAGTTTGGAAAAAAAAATCCTCTGATAAATAGAAAGGAATCCCTTGATCTTATATAACTTTTTTTCAGTATAACATTGTAGCAATTTTAATCGTACGGCATAGATATAACCAATGCAGAAGGTTAAAATTTCCGTGCAACACCTAAATTTCAATCGTTACACGTAAATTATCAAAGACTCTTTTTTTTTTTTGATAATAATGATGTAAAACAATCAAGTGAAAAGTAAGTTACTTCAAATCGAATAAATGAATACTAGAATATCCAGGTTTACTCTCTGCTATTGGAGAATTTAAATACAGTACAAGAAAAATGAAAATTCTTAAATTCTAGATTCGCGACCACGTGCGCAACGAATAAACCTTTTATTTACATTTAATTATGAATTTGGTGTGTATATATTTGGTATTTGTTAATAAAAAGTATATTTTAGGAAATTTCCTGACCACAAAATGGAAAAATGTTTATCCTATAATTTAATTTTTTTTTTTTCGGCGTTATGATTTTGATAATCATTTAGAACAAAACTGTTGATTTTTTTAAGTCTGCTTCAGTTCCCATTTATTATGATAAAATACTGTATACACTATATATCCAAGTCTGAAGGTCAAGAGTAGTTTTCATAATCATGAAAAAACGGTATATGTGCATAAAATTTTGAGATTCAATTTTAAAAAATATCGACCACAAAGCACTTATTGCATAATAAATTAATAGATCCAACAAAAATTTTCGTATAAGACACAACAGAACGAACAATGAATCATTCGCAAATATACAGTATCTATTGTTAGAGGCCTCTATGCAGGGTTCGTACGGTGATCGCGTCACGGGAACACGGCCGCGCGACACGCATTTACAGTACACTACTTTAATTTTATGTACGAGGAGGAGGGGGGGGAGAGACATTAAAAGTATGACATATAACTTATATTATATGTAATGACATCAAATTACTGTATATACAGCAAACTATAAAGCAATATTATTTCGGATTTACCTATATAACCATTAAGTTGCATGCAAATAAATAGTTTATTTCGCAAAAGATAATTAAAGTGATCGAATATGAATGCATGCACTATCTGCAGGATCACAAACGTAAATTCATGTCTTTTTATATTACATTATTATTAAACTAATGAATGAACTAGTTTCGGTGTATCAAAATTAACGTAATGGAAACAAAAAAATTTATTATTAAAGTCATGCAATTTAGATGATACTTTTATTAATTAATAAGAACCAACAACAAAATGTAGGTCTATATCGCGAAACATGATTATTATATTTGGCTGCTTATTATTTCCTTAATTTTAGACTGAACTCGATTTGCTCCCATTTCTTGCTTTAGTTGCATTGAATTCCTTCTGGCATCAAGTCAACAAGTTTTACTCATGAATATATCATTGTATTAAAATATAAAACTAGTTCATAAGTCATTCTTTCGCGAAAATTTCTTACAAGGCAACAACCTTGTTTTAAGCTCGAGTGACTAATTCTTGTATTAATATTTGTTATTTTGATATACAGTATAGAAAGATTAAATATAACCGAAAAAATGGAGGCGTTTTAATTCTGGAGCATTTCTATCCAATTGAGAATAAGCCCTAAGATTGTCTTAATTCGCGGCCTGATGAAACAATGGGTGACTATGAAAAGTCTCTGGCGTGAATAAAAGCAAGTGGTTTAAAGTGGTCACCGCAGCCACTACGATGATCATTTTATCGAAGCTTGGTTAAATCAGGTTTTTTCCATAATTTTAATTATATCGAGATCTCTTTTTTATAATAATACAGGGTGTTGCAAAAAAAATGGCAAAATTTTTTTTATTCTTTCGATCGACCTAGCCTAACCAATTCAAGCCGAATTTCCGTTTTGTTTATACAGGTCAGA